GGCTGTGGTTTCTATAACCTTGAATTAAACATTATTTATATTAGAATTAAACATTCCATTCCCACTGCAAAACCAATTTGATCATACTGTTAGTTGTTTCTGCTGAACCGGAATTTTGTGAATTTATAGTCAGGAGTTGTGGTGATACCCTCACCAGAGCAGGACCCTTTCTCCACGACAGAACCCAAATCTACGTAATTAAGTGGTACAGTCTCCATCACCAAAGTGTCAGGGTTTCAAATTTAAAACTCCCAAGTTGGGAAATGTGAAGATTAGATCCATAGAGCAATTCCAGCTTGCTTATAAAGAACAGAATATTTTTGATTACCAGTTAAGCTCCTAATTATGTGAAGAGGTTTATTGCAGGGTTTGTGCAGCATAGGTGATTAGTGTCGTCATGACAACAGCCCCTCCCTTCTTCCTGCCTCCAGGAGCTTGCTCTTTGCCAGGTGCTAGCTCTTTACCTACATACAGTCTGGCATACTATACACATCTGATCCTTTGACAGGAGGGAAGACATATAAATTGGAGCCATTTTCCACTTTTCCAGTCACCACCCTCTGTTACCTGAGTTGTTATGAAAGAGATCATAGCTCCAGTCATTGCCTCATATTACAAGGTAAAATTTGAGTGCTTAGATGCCTTGGCCATTTCAAATCCTGAGGCATTGGAGGCCTGTGAAAGAAGGGAGGTCTCCCTGTCCAAGAGCCCTTAACGTGGGGGACCCCATGGCATCAGTTCAGTTCAGTTCAGTTCTTTGCCTGAGTGACAGCACATGTGCTGAATGTTTTGCTGACAGTTTGTTCAATGAGTCCTACTTTCTAAAGTTGTAGATGTATAAGCGGGTTAAGTTAGCTATTGCAGGCTCTCCTCCACCCCACACCTGGCCAGAGGACATGACGTATCAGAGAGGCAGATGAAATGTAGAGGGAGCATTCAGGATTAACATCAGGCTCTGACCCTTCTAGTCCTTGTCCTGAGCACATCACCTACTAGTAGGGCCCTGGTCTGTGCTCTTCCACTAAGGGGGTTGAGTGTATGCAAACAGGCTCTATCACAGACTCAGAACAAAGACTATGGTTAGCAGATGTTGTGTAGCTTGCTGTCAGTGATGAGGCAGGCCTGCTCCTCTTGTTTCCAGGTGTGGAAAGATGGGCAGAAATTTTTTTTCTTTGCTTCCCTAACATAGTGTTTTTATATTGCAAAGCAACTATTTAATACCTGCGTTTGCCTCATGTTCAAGGGCCTAGATTGTTTCTTCTATCTATCCACCTCCCCACGACCCACCACTTATCACCTGCTTTCCTCTGCTGCAGCTTTCTGTCTACCCTGGGATCCATGCAGACTCTTGGGATGGTTAGGGCTTTCCCCCAAGTGCTGCACTCTCCAGAACAGTGTCACACATGCTTTTTTCCATTCTAGTTTATAATTAAATGGAAGAGCAGGAACTAGACTCCTGTCAGATTTCAGATGAAAAATTACTGTTAGTAATTTGTTAGTTCAGAAGTCACCTTGGAGAATCTCTGAGGCACTTAGCCCTATTATGGGTCCCTGGGTCCAGTCCTGGGCTAAAGTTGGGCGCAACCTCCCTGTCTGAGTCTAGTGGTACACTGTGCTTCACCTACCTTCCACTGCAGCCACCTGCTTCTAGACGGATTGTGGAAAAGAGTGTGTACATGGCTCAGGGAGGAAATAGCGGTCACTGACCCCTAAGGACTCAACATCTGGGTGGTGCAGTTTTCCTTGGGCCCTGCCCTGCAGCTGGCCCACTGTCTGTGTCAGGTTTCCTATACTGTCTTCACCTTTGTGTTGATAGCTTTTTCTTCTGAAATACGTTTCTCCCTCAGAACCCTAGGGTTGCTTGGGATTCCTTAATATTGACATTGTCTTTCTTATCTGCATCTTAGCTAAAACCTCCCCATGGGGCTTCCCTGGTAGTCCCTCTCCAGTTCTCTCCCACTTGACCTTTTGCACTCCTTCCCTATGGCAGGCACACTCTGTGGAGACTTCATCTTGTGGAGGTAGATGGTCTTGCCTGAGAGGACTCTCCCCACCCTCTGTCCTCTGACTGGCTTTCAGAGTCACTAGGTCAGCATATCAGTTCCCAGTAGGCAGAAGGGGAGTCATGTCAGCTGGTCTTGCCTATGGTGCTGTCCAGGCCATGTCTCTTAGAATGGTCAGCATCCTGTTCTCTTTGGGGGTGACCTCTGTGGGTGTGCTTGGAAGTCTGTACTGGTTCTGAATCTGTACCCAAAGCCTGCATCTTCCAAAGTGTCCCAGGCTTCCCTCCTTGCCTATCTACAGTATGTGTGGCTGCTGTGGGGGCCGGGGTATTTATCTCACTCCAACAGTGAGGGCAAGCCTGACTCTTTTGGCGTTTAGAAGACAAATCGGCAGAGGGCTTCTTGGAGTTAAATGCCATTACTTCATTACATTGAAGAGTAACAAATGACCTGCTGTGAGAAATGACACCCAGAATAGGCTGCTGACATTTCCTTGGATAAAATAATAAGCTGGCTAAACAGACTAAGAAATATTGAGGCTTCTGCCCGCCCCATGCAGGGCCAATTTCATGTACGCCCAGGCTGCTTCTGTGAGCCGGAGGTCCGAGAGGGCTCTTCTCACTGTTTACCTTTTATTATGCCTGAGGAAGTGTCTCTATGCTTGGAAGGCCCTTGAAAAATAATATGTCAATGGAAAACATCTCAGAAGATGTCTTCTGACTGTGGTTGTTGATTCAATGCCCTGAGCCTGGAAAACAAAATCAGACCTGCTCCTAGGCTCACAGGACGGGAATCAATTAGGCTGAAGCATTTTTTCCTCAGGAAGCAGGAGGAAGCAATTCACACCCACATCTGCATTCTTGACCTTCCCATTTCATTTAGTGGAAAGGGGAGCAGTGGGGCTGAACTGGATGTTGAGCCAGGTTGAGGTGTTTCCCCTATTGCATCTGCCACCTGAGAGAGGTGATGAAGTCTGCCTTTGGAGCCCGAGGGACCAGGGTGAGAGAGAGAGAGAGAGAGAGAGAGAGAGAGAGAGAGAGAGAGCCTTTCTCACACCATCTCTGAGGAGCTGCATCAACGGGTGTATTCAGATCAAATGCTGGCTTTGTAGATCAGCAGGGTCCCGAGAGCAGACATTTTTCAGTAGTGGGCTTCCAAGAGCAGACTATGGAGGGAGGATTCTTGCATCTCTATAGGACAGTAGGGGACAGAATTGTCAGAGAATGTGGCTGTCTGACAATTTAGGTGAGGTACCACAGCTGTACCAGCTGTGCTTGTGCTACCACAATCTCACCTATATCCACGGGAAGGGGGAAAGTTGATGACTAATTGTGTCTCGTAGGGTGGTAAATTCATTGGGTCCAATATGACATGAGTGACAACGTCCTTCACATATGGTCACTAGTCACTGACTCTGGTTCCATCTTTCTGCCATATGGGCTGTTTGGGCCCTTGAACATGGCTTTTTATTTTATAGATTAGCTTCTTGGGGGACATTGTCTATGCTGCTTAACTCTGTGTCCAGGGCTTGAGCTGTAGTGATAGTTCCCGTATATAGTATCAGTCCATCACCCCATAATTGAGACAATCTACTCTTTGCCTGCTTAGAGAGTTTGCTCAGTCACATACAGGAAAGATGTTCTGCTCAGTCTCCAGCATGCAGGCATCCTGAAAACACACTAGTGAAAGAGGCTAGGCACCAAGGTCTCAGGGAGTGGGCTCCTGCCTCTAAGGCATCCAGCATAGGTGTGGCTGCAGATAGGAGTTAGGCGGGTGCTGCCCGGAACTGGGAGGAGGGCAGGAAGGGGTGACTCCTGAGGATACAGGGGTTCTTACTAGGGTAAGGAACATGCTCCGGAGCTCATGGTGGTGATCTTACAAGCTCTTTACACAGACTGCCATGTGCTTGCATTCTGTAAATGTGGCGAATGTCCTGCATTTACTCCTTTAAAGAGTAGATTTCGTGGTATGAATTATGTCATGATTCAAAACAAAACAAAACAAAACCCCCAAACTTAAGCAGTGCCATGGAGAGAACTGGGGCACTAGCACCATTTCCTACAGACCCAGTGTCACTGTGGGTGAGGTATGAGCTGGTGGCCACAGAGCCAAAGAGCTGGGTCCTGAGTGAGTAAGGCGATTGCCATCTCCAGGCTCTGTAGATCAGCACAAAGAGCCTACCTGTCAGCAGGGGATGATGGGAAAATGATATACTCTTGGTAATTGTTAGCATTGCTGGGCTTTGCCCCAACTTTCTACGTGTGTCTGGGCTAAAATGTTTCCTTCTTAAAGAACTTTTCTTTACAAAGATGTGCGTGTGTTTACAAATAAAATGGAAATAAGAAAATGATAAAATGGGTGGTCAATTTTAAACTATTTATGAGCATTTTCCTGGGTAATAGTCCTTCTAAGGGTCCAAATGAATTTACGCAAATATCTGATGAGCCATTTCAATTAGGCATCTGTTTTCTCTACTTTCAGAAGGAAATTATTTCCAACACTATTGTCTTCTCTGAAGCTCATCTGTGTCTCTGCCTTCTGGGGCATTAGATGGTAGCACAGAAGTTTTTAACCGGAACAATTTGGGAAGCGCTACCTCAGAAATCGTATTCTAGAGGAATTATTACCAAATGAATATATAAATGTATTAGAAGCAGAATTTTTAAAACTGATAAAGAAACTTTCAGTTCTGTTAGGGCTTAGCCATAGATGTTAGGTTTTGTTTTTCTAGAATATGAGATGTCTGAGAAGTAATAATTTATAATATATTAATTATGCTAATTAATCGGAGTGGATTCAGAATATTAATTATCTGCAACTAATTAGGTATTAAAATTGAGAACCATTAAGTGATGAGGTGTGAGGCTCATGAGTCATTTATTCAGCATGATGAAAAACGTGGAGGGAGACTGGCGTGCATGTGGATGGCTGCGTTCTCCATGGATTTATCTCACATGGTTGATTGCTTCTTGTATCTTCCATGCTTGTTCTGCGCAGACCAGGAGGATGTGGATGAGGTCGATGTCTCCAGTGTGCCTGCAGAGGTGCTTCGCAACATTGAGGCCGACACCTACTGGTGCATGAGCAAGCTGCTGGATGGTATTCAGGTAAGCCTGAGGCTTGGGGGTTGTAGACAAAATGCTGCATCCCAAATGATGGAAGGCCACTGGACTCTACTCCACTAACTGGCTTCTGAATTGAAGCTATCTCCCTCCCAGAAAAAGCAGGTAGCCTTTTTCTGTCTGGAGCTCCTCATGGTCACAAGGCATGCAGTGGGTCATACATGTTCCTGGTTATGGGAACAGTCATTGTTTTCTGCCAAGTATTCCAATAGGAAGGTGTGTGGAGTCTGATCCCTATGCCCTGATCACTCCATGACTTCTGCCTATATTCTCTAGCCTTCAGCACCACTGTGGGCACTGGTCCCTGAGTTCTTAGCAAGTTACTAGACACCTATCACTTAAAAAAAGGATATCAAGCCCAGGCAGTATCCCTATTCTGTATCTTCTAGGCCTATGAGTAGCCCATAGCCCTTCCAGATGTAGTGGCAAGGCTCTCTATGCATGGGCCACTTCCACTGTGCCTGGTCCATGGGAAGACACCAGCTATTAGAGTCCTGGTTACCTGGGTACCATGATGGGGACATTGTTGATCTCTTTGTGGAAGCTTGAGTTAGTGTCTGGGATGTTCACAGAAAAACCCAATGGCAGCTTGATTTTATGTAAACAGTGTTTGTGTGTGAGACCTGCACAGTGCCTAGGAGGATCTCATTAGTTGATGAATTGGGAATGGGGACAGCTGCTGAGTGACTTAGCAGTGGCTGAAGTCAGCCATTTGATCAGCCTTCAAATGCCCTGTGGAATGTTTTGGGTTTGTTTTGGCCCAGAATACCTTTCATAAATACCTGCTTTGTACCTGACATCATGGTCTACACCCTTGAGAAGGAGCCTGGAGCAAGGCATGAGGCATGTCTGGAGGACCACATTGTGGGCTTGGGCCCAGATGTTTCATTTCTCTGCCTAGAGGTAGCAAATACATACTTCCAGGACTAAAGGTGACCAAAGGAAATGCCTAGGAGGACAAGGAGTTTTGTTGACAGAGGAGGGAGAAAGTTAGAGTGGGATTTAACTGTCTTGAGGGATCAAATTTCCAAGGTTCTCTCTGGGAGCCACTTGGAGAAGCCATACAAAGAAGGCATGATCTGTGCCATGCCAGCTGAGGTAGACTCTTAGCCCTCAGGGCATCAGGCATCCAAATGGGTCACAGTGGCCCTCATCTCTTTGAGTGGCTGTCTCTGCTCATCTACTGGTTCTGAAGGTCAAATAAAGATTCAGAAAATGTATGGCTTAGACCCTGAGGCTTAATCTGAGTGGGTCAGCTAAGTGGCATGTCAATGAGACCTGAGTTTGCATTGCTTTTCATACCTGAGGCCGACGGGGAGAAATTAGCATCCTCTGTATAACTGAAGAGCGGAAACCTCTTCTTTGCTCTTGATCCAGATGGCCCTTGACTTATTTTGTTTCTTATAAAGACAAATGTGCCCACTAGAGACGTGTTTTGGCCCAAGCATCAATTCATCACTTCCCTCCTTTGTTAATGTTTTCATATTTTTTACTCCCTCTTCAAGAACTTAAGGTTTTTCTCTGTTAGAGAAGGGGAATCATAATGTAAAAGCTTATAAATTATCATCGTCGCTTCTCTGATTGTGAGTGATGGTACTTGTGCCATTTAAATACAAGATTATCTGGCTTCTGTTTGTAAATAAGATCGCTGTACAACAGAATCAATGCTGGCCTTTCATTTTTCACCTGAGCTCTGTTGTTGGGCAAAGTGGTTTATTGACAGGGCTGACAAGCAGAAGGCACCACACTCCTCTGGAGCCTCTGTTTACTGCACGTTCATAGCACAGTGGTAGCTATCTGTCTTTCCCTCTCATGGCTAGGATTGATTCCACATGAGCCTCATGTGAGCTGAAATTGAAGGTTCTCATTTTCACCATTTGGGATTTGGGAGCTTGACTATTTCTTGTGGCTAAGGCAATCCCAAGAGGCTGGTGACTCCCATGCAAGAGCCAGGTTTGTTTTAGGTTAGCCTGTGAGGCTATGAGCCTGTTTAAAATACAGGCTTGAATGGACCAGCAGGTTATTCCCAGAGGGCTTGCCTGATCTGTCCTTTACCAATGGTGGCTCATCTCCTAGCCCACTTTCCACTCTTGGTCAAACTTCCCTCTCCCCTGTTCTTTGTTCTATTAGAATCCTCCTCCCTGAATATCCATTTTCTTGTGCCATGGTCTAGGTTGGAAGCCCTCAGAAAACAGTCTTGGTTTTGTTGATTGCAGATTCTCCTATTTAGCCTTTACCTATGTCTCCAGCATTTTCTGTAAGGCTGGGTTGACTTTTCAAAGCATGTTATCTATCTACACCACTTCCTGAGGGACTTCCATGGAGTCATGGTTCCAAACTAGGGCCACAGGCTTTGTTCCTTCAGGGATGAAAATGGGAGGTGGGTCTATCACCTGCATGTGGGCACTGTGCCTTGTATCAGATCCAAGGTCCTTCCTGTGCACCAGGTGGATGCTCAGAGAGAAAGGCCACTGTCCAGGTCACACAGCCTGTGAACGAGCCCACATTTGTACTCCCATGGCTGCTGTGGCTTCTGAGTTGTTTTGCAGGGCATGTTCTAGAGCAGTGGTTCTTAACCTTCCTAATAAATGCTGTGACCCTTTGATACAGTTCTCATGTTGTGGTGACTCTCCCACCCCAACCACAAAAATATTTTTGTCACCACTTCATAACTATAATTTTGCTACTGTTATAAATTGTAACATAAATATTTTTGTTGATAGAGATTTACTAAAAGAGTTGTGATCCACAGGCCGAGAACCACTGTTTTAGAGGCTAGAACCACATTTATCTTTCGTTTTAGTTTTGGACTCTGGATAGCTTAGCTATTCTTGGTTCAGTTGGAGAATCTGTGCCCACTAAGTTTTTGTAATTGATTTGCTAACTATTAATTCTTCCAGAGTATGATTGAACATGCCTGGGCCAGTGCTGAATGTGACCAGCACTGGCAACATACTTCTGGGCTAGATCTGAAGCCCGTCAGGCTAGGTAGGAGATAGGATAGCAGTGGACATGAGCAGAGAGTATTGGCCATGGGCTCTGGCTCAGGAGGATGGCAGACTTTGGACTGCTTCCACTGCGGTTGCCGGGAGATGCTGGGTGACCATATGAAGAACATGTATGATTTGGTTTGGTGGCTTGTTAGCAGCAAGGGCAGTCCTCCAGAAAGGAAGTGTGCTGGCTTGCCAACAGCCAGTCAGTGCATTGGAGGAGAGTCTGCACACGCACTGTAGCCTAGGTTTTTCTTGCCCTGGAAGGTGTGAAGTCCTAGAAAAGCTGGCCCTGCCCTGGGAGGTCTGGATGGAGGTGTGTTCAGAGCAGAGTTTCCCCCTGCCCGCATGTTTCAGGGTCAAGAAGTTCTCCAAGTTGATTAGACCATCACCAGTCACATTCCTTAGCATTGTTTCTTTTCCCAAAGCAGTGAGTGATAATCTCCTAAAATTTAAATTCTTCACTTGGAAGTCAGATGTTGTTACCAGTAACAATCACTGTCTGTTATCTGAAGTGATAGAATCACTGTTCATTTTGAGGAAAATGGCTGGTTTTCCTAGGTTCACATGGCCAGTTTGCCTTTAAAAGTGGAGAGATTGTCCTGTTTAGTTCACAGCTCTAGTAGCCGTGTGGAACTTTCCTGGAGGACAGCCCTGCTGTCTCCATATACAAGGCTTTCCCTGCCCTCTATCCTGCCTCAAAATAGTACAGTGGTGCTTCTTCCTGACAGAGCTTGAACACTGTCAGTTATTTCCATCTTTTGAGACAAAGTCTGTCTGTGTAGCCTTGGTTCTCCTGGGACTCGCTCTGTAGACCAGGCCAGCCTCGAACTGGTAGAGATTAATTTGCCTCTGTAACCCATTATACACAACAGGAGAGGATTAGTGGACCTGGAGGATCTGAGGAGATGAAAGGGTGGGCAGACCCAGGCAGAGAGAATAGCTGGAGTAAAGATGACACTGGAAAGATGATGGACATTTGTATTTTTGTTTTCGTTTTATTTTATTTGTGAAGGTATAAGGTGGATACCACACTCACCGTGGCCTCAGAATCATAAGACTTTGATGCTTAGAGTCAATAAATAAAACACATCTCGAGAGAGAGAGAGAGAGAGAGGAACCAAGTTAACATCATACAGACATGAGGTGGAAGGTATAGAACACAGAGAAGAGGGACTCTCGGAGGAAGTGTAGGTGGTGACCTACAAGCTACAAATGGAGATGGAGGTAGGAGAGAAACAGCTACAGAACCCGCAGAGGCAGGAGAAAGCAGGAAAATATGCTTGATGCTATGAAGAAAAGAAACTGCCAGAGTAGACTAGACTACAGACTGAGAGCCAGCTGTGCAAACACAGTGGTGCAGGAGGAAAGAAAGGGTCGGGCAGTGCAGCAACTAACTCCATCATCCCAGCAGGCCCCCAGGCACCTCCACCTAGATTGTAGCATATTGAGAGTTTAGACCCTCATGGTCTGGCTACTGCTCAGTTATCCCTCAAGAACCAGGGCAAAAGGGTAAAAACCCATTTTGTGTGTGTGCGTATGTGTGTGTGTGTGTGTGTGTGTGTGTGTGTGTGTGTGTGTGTGTGT